TTATTCTCAGCGAAATGGGATTCGCGTTTCAAGAAAAAATCCTTCTGTATAGATATATGTTATCGTCAAAGCAGGAAATCAGTCATTGCTAGTAATTCCTCGGCATTGTTATCAATGAAACTTTTGGCATTATCAATGAAACTTTTCATAGAAATATCAGAGAATGCAATGCTACAAATTGTACAACTTTGCTTGTTCTTTGAAAAGTTTGGATAAATATTTTTTATAGTAAAAGTTAATAGATTTTAATGATTTTTATATTAAATTAAAGTGCACACTTTTGTCTACGCGTAGAATACCATATCAAGTTATAAATTGAACTGCAAAGGTTCAAAAAATGTCAGAGAATGCAATGCTGTAAATTGTACAACTTTGCTAATTCTTTGAAAAAAGTTTTGCTAAATATTTTTTATACTAAAAGTTAATAGATTTCAATGATTTTTATAATAAATTAAAGTACATTCTTTTGTCTACACGTAGAATACCATATCGAGTTATAAATCAGTTTGCAAAGGTTCAAAAAATGTCAGAGAATGCAATGCTGTAAATAGTGCATCTCTGCAATTTCTTTGAAAAGTTTCGTCAATTATTGTTTATACTTAGAGCAAGCGAATATTAATGATTTTTATATTAAATTAATTATATTAAACAAATCTTCTCGAATATTATTTCAAATGTAATTGATAAATATTCCAATCCCATCAACAACAAACAACAAGCAACAACAACAACAACAAATAGCAAACCGTAATCGTAAAAATCATTTAAAAAAGAAACACAAAAAATATATGACACGTTTTTTAAAATGCCATTACGAAGACAATCTTATAGATAAAGTAAAGTTTAGCAAAGATGTGTGTGTGTGTGTGCAAAAAGAAAATAAAATAAAAAGGAAAAAAAAAAGAATAAAACTAGGGTGCGAAACACAGTGTTTTACCAGCTTGAAACGTTTCACACTTATTGTTGTATTCCTTACCCCCTCCCCTCTACACACACACACACAGACACACACATTCTCTCCCAGCCGTTACTTTTTCTCTTTTCGTATACATGAGCACGTGGAATGAATAAAAACAAAACTAATGACACACTGAGAGATTCGGGACAGTAACGGTGCCTGTTCTCCCAGCAGCAGCAGCAGCAACCAACACCAGAACCAGAACCAGAACCAGAACCCAGCACCAGCAAATAACTGTCAGCCTTGCTAGCTCGATATAAAGAAAGAAACACCACGCAAATCCTCTTTCTCTCTCTTTCTTTCTCTTATTCTTTCTTATTCTGTTGTATTATGTACTTGGAAACAGACTCTAAAGGTGCATTCACATTGGAACACGTTGGATTCGTTACCGGTACGAGTAGGATGACGTTTCTGAAAGTATTCGTATTCGTTATATGTGTATATATATGTGTGTGTGTGTGGGAGAGAGAAAGAGAGAATAGAAAACGAGTTTCTATGGAAGATACGATGTTACACATTGATGTAAAAACTAAAAAAGTAAAAAAATAAAAGAAAACTGTCACCGTCAACGCGAGACAATAACTTAAAACTCATTCATTCGCTCGCATACCACCAATCACAACCCTTATTTCTTTCCATTCTTCTTTTTCTCTTCACATTTTTTTTGTTTAACTATTTTTTTAAATTTATTTTCATTTCTCGAGAGTTGTGTTTTTTTTTCGTTATACGTTGTCGTTGTTGTTGTTGTTATTGTTGTTTGATTTATTTTGTATATTGATATGTATTTTAAATATGTTTTATTTTTGTTATCCTTATTTTTCTTATTGTTTTATGTATGTATGTTTGTATGTATTTGTAGTTACGTTAATTCTCATACACATACACCATCTCTCTCTCTCTCTCTCTCTCTCTCTTTGTTTTGTATTAAAGATTGTATTATAATATATATATATATATAGTTTAGGTTTAACCGAGAATGATGGGTTATTTATAGTTAGGTGCTGGTCAAACGATCGATAATGATGAAACGCGCTTTTAAATTAAACCTTTTTTTTTTTTTTTTTCTTCTTCTTTTTTTTTTCCTATCGACGATGTTAGTTGATTAAAAAAGGAAAAAAAAGGAAAGGAATTCTATTCGCTACGTCATTCAGGAATAGTTGAACGAAAAAAACGAGATAGATAAAATATATCGATGTTCGTAAAGGGGTAGTAGAATTAACGAGTCGAAGGGTGGGGGTTGGTTGGTAGGAGAAAGGTTTAGAATAATTAAATGTTCAATATTATATTCGATTTTTTGTTTTGTTTATATGTTCAAATTATACTACAGTTATATTGAAAAATAATATATATAGGATTGTAATAATATTATTAATAATTAATAATAATTTTTGTGAGAACACACAATACTAACGGGGGATTTTTTATTAAAGTTCAAAGTTTGAAAATGATTAAGTATAGAATATTCGATTTGAAAATGAAATTTTAATGAGTCTGACGTTTCGTATTGTATTATCTAATATTATTGTTATTATAGATCACACATACACGTTTAATATAAACACATATTATTTAAGTGTATAGTAAATACTTGTATTTTTAAGTATACACATTGAAATAAATTCTATACGAATGTGGAAGAAACGTGTACACGTTAGTTGGGTTATATTGTAGAATCGTGCTTGCGTGACTTTTTACGTAATTCTAATATTTTCTTTTTATTTATTTCAACTCGATCAAACAAATGACGTATTTCAAAAAAGAAAAAAACTAATAATAATAATCCTAAGAAGAAGAAGAAAAAAAGGGGATAAAAATCGATGGTACGTTCGATACTTAGTTGTGAACTTTCAAACGGGTATTTGTTTTGTTTTTTTTTTTTTAAAAAGCATACAACTCTCATTACTATGGAAAGTTTTCCAAGATTTTAATAAATTCATTGTAAGAACAGAACACTCGTTTATAAAACTGTTATCCTTATAATATATTTTACATGTATTATTTTATACAAATTTTTACCTCCGCACCCACCGGTTTTACGAAGTAAAATCCCCGTTCCTTTTTTTTTTCTTTAAACGAATGAACCAATCAAATCCAACCAACCAACTAACCGGATCGTAGAGAAACGACACGATAATTACGTAATCGTGAAAAAGAATCGGAAAGAAACGGTTAAAAGAAAAGCAATTTCTAATCTTCGTGCGGAACGGTAATATCGCCCGCCACGAGATTCGAACGATTTGAGCGGGCTCCCATGGAAGAGTGGGGGTGATGAAGAGGGAGAAGAGAGGGAAAACGTAAAGGAGAAACATTGAGGAGTGGGGATATCGTAGCAGGAGTGGGGAGGAGTCGTTCTTCAACATTTAACTCGATGGTGAGAAGAGAGAGGATTGCGGTAGGTCGGATAATCAAAATGGCCGACTTGTTTCGCGTTACCATGGCAACGAAGCACGGGCGTTACTACGGGTGGGGGTAACCTTTGCGAAAAGGGGCGGAGCTTTAAACGTCGGCGGCCATCATGTTTTCGGTCGAACGCCGATAGCTTGCACCATCTAGCGGTTATTTAGACGAACTAATTCGATTGAATTTATTCCTATACCCCCTTGGAACATTTTATTCGAGCCGCTACTCTCGTACAGTTCGGATCTACGAATTTTACCCTACCTTTATCCCCTCTCCTCTTCCCTGGCCCACCCCCAATCCCTTTCTCTTATTTTTCTGTTTTCTTTATTTTGAGTTTAGAATTTTAAAAATTTTTTTTAGGTTTGAATTTTTTTCTTTTTTTTTTCTTTTTTTTAAGTCAAGACTTTTCAACCCTTGACTGATATTTTTATGTATGCAATTATTCGAAATTGATATTTTATATATATATATTACTCTATTATTCGATTAAATATTAATCTTATATTATATTTTAATGATATGTACACACGTGTAATAGTATCCCTTAAACCTGGTAAAAGGTTATGCGATATAGACGTTGTATGTAACATTATAGTATAATTGTTAACGGTAATAAGTAAATCATACGTAAAATGTACTATAAATTAATATTTTTGCATTGAATTTTGTGAGATTCGGACTTTTAGTCAAATTGATATATTTCTAATTAATTATTATCTTTTTCCTCTCCCCCAACCGCGTCCCCTTTCCCGTTTTGTTTTTTTTTTTTTTTAATTATTAATAAATAAATAACATTTATTGTATTACGATAATAATTATTATTTGCACAATGGTAGAAATAATAAATAATCGTATTTAATGAATATTATTTTCACTAACGATTATTTACATTTCGAATAACGTCGATTGAAATTATTCTCCGTTATTATGATTATTAATAAAACAGTTATGTGTTTTTTTTTATATTTATTTGTCGATTAACGATAAAAAAAAAGAAATATTATAATTAATTGTTCATAACGTGGCGTCGTATATATATAGAAAATTGTCGTATAAAACTAAAAAGGGCTAATGGTCAACGATATAACTATTTCATTTATTTACGATTATATTTTTTTAGCGTTGTGGGAGGTGATCAAAATCAAGTTTTAAAACCAGTTGGAAATAATTTACATTTCGTGACAATTTCAACCTTGGCAAATGTTGATTTATCAATTAATCCCACCCACACGAGTTACTATTTTAAACGACACAAAACAACTCACCCGGTTATCAAACCCTTTAAGGGTTTCGGATTGAAGCTGGGGTGTTTTATTTAGAAACTTTTCTGTCACATCGACAATATCCTAATGAATGTACTTTTTTTTTTTCACTTAATCGCAATCATAATTGTTAATTCCTAAATTTTTACTGTTTTCTTTTTTTTTTTTTTTGTTTCAAACAAACAATTTACGTAATTCAATAACAAAAAACAACAATCGATAAAATAAAACGATTAATTGTGCGATCGTATTAAATATTGTATATCACGTAAAATCATTTCTTTTGGGGGGGGTGGTGGAGGGGGTGGTTTATATTTTCTAATAATAAATGTGTATCTTTTGGATTGATTTGTTTTACTTTTGAATTTTGAAATTTGCAGATCCTTGTAGAATACGACGACGTTGAATGGCAAAGACGCGAGTGGTTATCCCCACACAGGGATGCAGTATTTTCTTTTTTTCTCGTTGAAAAGGGCCTATGTTGGGCCGAACGTGCTGATCCAAGACACGCCAGTCTCATCGCCATCGATCATCACAATAACGCTAACAATAATCATCATCATAATAATCATCATCATCATAATAATCATCATCATCATCATCATCATCATCATCATCGTATCAACGGGAAACCACTCAGAGGTTCAACCGCTACTCCCAACACCGTTGCTTGGCCTGCACTCGTAAGTTTATTTATTATTAATTATTGCATTTTTTTTTTTTTTTTTTTTAATCATTTTTATGTTTGAGATTAAATTTTCAATTGCAAATAATCGCGTCGATATTTTGTTTTTCGAATTTATTGTTTGTTTGTTTGTTTCGTTGGTTTCTTTCGGATGTATTTATTCTGACACGAATTATGTTTCCAGTTAAATATTTCAATATAAAAACAAAATGTTTAATTTATATATATTAAATATGATTCGAACATTTGTTTATAATATAATACAATGTGGTGTCGTGGTGATTAATTTATTTTTTTTTGGAATACAATTGAAATACTTCTTTTTAAATTTGGAATTTAATCTCGACTGGTACACGAGTTTGGTTTTCCTTTTCTTTTTGTTTTTATTTACTAGATAAATTTGTTGTTTTAATAATATATATATTATTAAATATTATTTATATATATTTATTTTTCTTATACAGACATTTTATCCTCTCGTGGCACGTGCCGAACTTCCGGAAGACGCAATGCCGATAGAATTTATGCAAGACCGGAGACTGGACTTCGTTGATTATTCCAAATTAAAACCGTTCACCGTAAGTATTAAAAAGAATATTAATAATATACATTAATTATATTAAGAAAACATAATTATCTATCACATTAATTATGTGATACAAAAGAAAAATTGACACTTTTGATAGGAACGCCGGATATATCCGGCATCCATTTAATGACTTGAAGATATACCAAGCCAAGGATATTGTTTAACATTGTTTTATCAAGCACAGTTTATTATTTAACGTTTAAACCAAAAAAAAACCTTAATATACGAAAGAATGAACTGACCACGTGATGTTGTTACGTGTAAACATTTTCGAAAAACAGAGAGTGTCATGGGAAAATTCGAAACACAAAGTAAAAAATTCGGATTACTTTTTCTGAATGAGAGATTATCATACGAAACGGCAACAGAGGAGGAATGGATTTAATTGGGATAGGAAAAGTGATGGTTTGTTTCATAGTCGTCGACTGATGGTCCCCCACAACCTAACCCTTCTGCTGTTGGTGTTGATGTTGCTGTTGCTGATGCCAGTGCGACCACTTCCGCTTTACGGTTAGAAACTTACTTCGTTAGGGAGGGGTTTGAACTTAGTTAGGAAGAAGTTTTGAAGCCATTGGCCTATCCGACACCAACCAGCCCCCTCTGCCCCCTGCCACCCCTTCGGGTTATTCGGGATGGTAGCACGCGTACACACATACACAACAATTCATTGGTACAGATTTAGGTATATAGAGTAGTGTAGTAATCTTTGAAGAACGCAGCAAGTAGTTGTCCCAAACTTTCGAATCAGGACTTGTTGTTTGTTACCCAAGACGTTCCCTTTCGTTCCCTTGAACGTAAACCCTTTTCCCCTGTCGTTAAACCTTTGATCATTTAAATCGTCTTGGTAGTAGCAGGTCAAATTCTGTTGTTGTAGTTATCAATTATTTTTCTTTTCGGTACTTAATTACAATTAGATCACGGTACTTGTTTTCGAACAAAATAAAACTTATTGTTTTGTTTTTTTTTTTTTCATGAAGAATAATTTCTCGCGACTACGCGTTTAACCGTTTGATTCTCGTCATAGTTCGAAAGAGAAACAGAGAGTGAGTTTAAAGGGTCGGGGTCGTAATTGTTTCCAAGTAATTAAACTGTCGGAAGTTTAATCGTTAAAACTTTTGCTTTAGGTTCAGCGAATCGTTTACGCGAAGTTTCATGATCCAGGTGTGAGATGCACCACGGTAATTCGACCGGCCACCTGTCTTTTAACCTTCTCGACCTTACCAAATTATTAACGGTATGATATTTACGAAGGAAAATTCATTATTTCTATGTTCAGTCATTTCACGGAATGAGGATTATATTTCGGTTGGTTTTTTCATTCGTATATCAATATAAACCCCGTCTCTCTAACATTTCAAATCACCAAACACCCTTTCCCCTATCCCGTTTAGATCAGCCATAAACCATAACCCAAAAAGATACAATCATCCGAAATCTCATCATCACGTTTGAAGAAGTTCAGGTATCCGTGTATAAAATCCAATTAAAAACTGATCCCCCTTTGAAACAAAGGTGTATAAAAATACCAAAAAAAAAGAAAAAAAGACTAAAAAAAGGAATCCAATAATAGACATATAGATAACAACAATACTTATCATAATAATACTCAATCTAAATAATAACAGTGAGTAGAGTTAATAACTGTGTTTTGTAATCTCACTTTCCACAGTTAGTCTTGTCTCTGTTGAGACAGACAGACAGACAGATACAGACACACACACCGATACAGGCAGGGTCTAAAGTTCTCAGAGATATCTCGTAGCCTCTGGCAACTAACAGCAACCAACAGCAGCAGGTCTACATCCTACAAGTAGTAGTAGTAGTAGTAGTAGTAGTAGTAGTAATACTTGGCACGCTAGAGGGGGGATTAAGGGGGGGAACGGGTGGGGAATATACATATAGCACATCGATGGCATAAAGTACCCCCCTGTCCCCCGCCCAGCCCCCACCCCCCATGTTGTATGTTCGCTTTGCCAAGGACCGTTAGTTGGCTGAACGGGAATATGTTGGCGCCTCGACTTGGCCGTTCTCCAACCTGTCCCTGCCCCTTTCCCTTTCCCTTCCTCATCCTTCTCGACCTACCCCCCCCCAGGCCCCCCCTGTCTTCCTTATCCTCCTGTTTCCTCTTGCACACGTGCGCGCGAGCGCACACTTTCTTTATTTATTTTTTTTTTTTTGTCTATCATAGAACGCGAGTTTATGGGAAAAACAAAGACGAAACACACAACACACTATAGTCATTTAACAAGAATATTATAGAGAAATAGTAGTACAAATGCAATAGTAAAACAGTTACTGAACGTAAGTAACCTCACATTGGTGATACTACAGCTAACTGAAAGTTTACTGGGTAGCCAGTGAAAATAAGAGCAAATGGTCTATGTATGTGTATGTGTGTGTGTGTATATATATATGTCTCTCTCTCTCTCTCTCTCTCTCTCTCTCTCTCTCTCTCTTTCTCTCTCTCTCTCTCTGTTTTTCTGTAAAAGCTTCTTCCTGAGTGTGTTGGAGAGTATCAGTGGGGAATGTGCCTGCTTCTCCCCCCTACACACACACATAGACATACACACACACACGGAGGGCTGAACCAAGGAGAGAAAGAACCCGTTACATTTATAGTTCAGGGTCAGCAGACTCTCTCTCTCATGCAGCACGCTCTCGATTTCAACGAATTTTCGGTTGGAAAAACTGGGAAAAGGGTTAACACCTGTTATATTATAAAAATTGTTCTTATAATTGTTTTGAAGAGACAACATATATATTTTTATCATTTTTATAATTATATATTTAGATAAAAATCTCGCGAATTATTATTATTATTATTATTATTATTGTTTAGATAATTTATAGAATTTGTTTTTTAATCAATCGATCTGTGTGTTCTTCTTCTTCTTCTTTATTTTTCTTTCCATTTTGTTTTGTTTGTTTTTTTTGGTTCATGCAATAATGAACGTTGTATGTTACGTTTGGAACAGGTTATACAATAATTTTAAGTTTCGTATTAACTTTTAACTAGGATAGAATAGGATAATTTTGTGATAAGTACAAATGTAATATAACACGATAATTATAAAAAAGAAAACAAAAAAACAAAAAACCAAGTCATTATCGCGAAGTGTCGGTTGTAGGATGAACACTTAACTGTTTGTGCGTGTCATCGCGTGTGTTAACTTAACGATTATATATTTCTTTTACCTTTGTTTGAGTAGAAACACCTTTATGCGTTTATAATCTTTCATTCCTGACGACTCATTGTGTCATATATATATTTTGTTTCTTTTTTTTTTTTTTTTTTTTTTTCTGCAATTAGTTGTACCTGATGCATTATTAATTGACGATGCTATTATTTTGCATTTAGTTGCAGGGGGTGTAGGGTGGGGGGGGAGGGAGTATCGTTAAATCGTTTATTAATGTTTATGACTTGGAATTTTTTTTCAAATTGTTTTTATGGATAACCTGTTTCTTTTTTTTCGTTTTGTTTTTAGGTTAGGTTTGTACGAGTCCCTTTTATCCTATTTTTTTCTGTTTTTTTTTTTTTTTTTTTTTCACGAATAATTCTACAATCGTAATATCGAAATTAATGAAACGTAGTTTGCAGGGATGCAATTTAAATAAAAAAAATTGTTCGATTTAATCGAATTGTTATTATTATTTATTTAATTCCGTTACTTTTACGAAATGGAAAAAATGGCTGTTGAGAAGAGTAAAAAGAAGAAGAAGAAAAACAAGAAGAAAAAATGAAATATTAATAAGTAGAAAATTAGCAAAGTAATAAAATATCGTATCGTATAAATCGAGTTGTTTAACAAATTACCTTTTTTTGAAAAATGTTGAAGAAGTTAATCACGAAACTCGTTAACGGAATTCGAAAGTCCTTGTCGAACTACTAACTCAGAAACTCGTGTTCGATGAAAGTTTCGTAAAATATGAGAGAGAGAGAGAGAGAGAGAGAGAGAGAGAGAGAGAG